TGCAGTGAGATTTGGGGAGGGGGGAGATAATCATTTGATTAAAGGGTGGTGGGGTATCGGTGAATGAACTGGTGATGTGGACACCGCAAACTTTGCAGAGTTTATGTTAAGAGGGAGTGACTGGTTGGGAAGGGGAGGGGGTCAGGTTGGGGGAGGGGTTCGGGGTGGAGAGGAAGGAAGGGTTTTGCATGGCGAGAGGTATCAGTGAATGAGCGGGTAATCCCGACTGTTTGCTGGATTTGCTTTAGGGGAGCGTGCGTGGGTTGGTAGGGGTTCGCGGAGGGTTGGGGGGGGGGGGGTAACCAGTTGAAAAAAGGGTGACCTGAGCACCGTTTGCGTTGGAAGCAGTGGGTGTGGGTTGGGATTAGTCCGTGGGTTTTTGTTAAGCTTCACCTTATAAATAGATCAACATAGCATGAATGATAAAAGATCAAGCTGCTGGTTTTAAAAAATAATTAATTAACCGGAGGTGCAAAAGGAGACGGGATGGACGTCATTCTAGAGATGGAAATATTGTTCTCATTCTTTCCCTATTTTCGCAGGTTAGGGTGAAGGGAGATTTGAGCAAATCTACAAATTATTATTACAAGGGCAGTAATTCTGATCTATTTTGTGGTAAAGAAAATCAAACATCTTTTTCTAACATCAGGACCCCCTTCCCCCTCCAAAGGTAGTAAGGTGTGACGCTTAGGTGCTTTGCAGTTTCATGCAGGAGACCCGAGTTCGATTCCCTAATGGAGAGAAGTTTTATCCAATGTCTCGGTCTTTCTTATGGGATCTTGCATCCCTCTTAGCACGGGCTGACCCTGGCAGGCTGAGCTGAAAGCTCACCTCCTACTTCATTTACAATAGTTCGATTGTGGGGGGGGGGGGCGTAAGAAAGTTCCCTCGTTTCCAATCCTTTTTGGTCCCTGTGCATTTACTGGATAATAAAGGTGAGGCATCCGTCAAGCGAATCATCCTTCAGGGAATGGGAGTGAATATAATAATATCGTGTAGCTGCGTGGGAGAGGCAAGCAGATGAGTATGATATTTATCCACCCACTCTCAGCGTGATACCCACCCCCCTCACATTGAGTTACTTTTTAAGATCTCATCATCGCGTTGTTATTCTCAAAATACGCGTGCCTAATTAGTCAAAAATTGTCTTTTTTGTTTACTTTTTTGTTTTTGTTTTTCTTCACTGAGCCACTCGAAGAGGGTGGTTTAAAGAGGAGAGGGGATAGGACGGAGGGGGGAATGGGGGAGGTTAAGAATTGCGGGGGCGGGGGATTCTTTGCTATGCAGGAGGATATCCATACATAGAAGTATTGATTTCAGTTGATTTCAGGTGGCGTTCCATTGTCTTTTGTGCCCGATATGGCATATTGCATTTGTTTCAACCTACGCTTTAGCACTTAATAACCTTTTGTAGCTAATACGCCGCGCATGCTTGCCCACATTGCCAGTTGAGAAACAATCCAAGGCGTGAGGCAGAAATTAAAGTAGCAGTAACACCATGTGGTTTACTTTTAGCCCTCCGTGTGTCGCTTCACCGACCTTCCCTCTACGTGCATCCGAGTCTGCACGCCCTGTTGATGTTGGGCCAACCAACACGGGGGTAGCTGTGGCGTTTTGGGTGGAAAGATAATGCGACAATATTTCGGATCAAGAATTATGTGTGTGTGTGTGCGCGTGTGTGTGTGTGTGTGTGTGTGTGTGTGTGTGTGTGT